AATAGAACGCTTGGTTTTCCCTAGGTCATATGAACTTAATCAATACCATATCATATTTTGTACCAAAAAAAGATAAATCTGTCAAAACTCCTTTTTTTCGTGGGTTTAGGCAAATGGGAAACTTGCATACAATATACACACACAGCAAAAAAAATTGGTACACCCTGGGCAAAATGAACTAAAAACAGATTAATTTGTTTGATGTGTACTCCGATTTCTATATGTCAGGTGTATGTAGCCTTGTAATAAATTTAGATAAACACTGGGAATCCATTAACCTGGATTATAGTCTGTCTTGAACCTGTGCCAACATATTTATAGTCTGTTTCAACATAACTGATTGATAAACGTATCGCAAATTTTGATAAAAACTTCAAAGATGGAACTCTATTCCCTTCAAAAGTAAAAGAAGTGGTTCATTATTCTAGAATGGCTGCAAACAAAGAGGCATTATTATAAATGTACAAGGTTTGAATGTTAAATTATTGGTATTTTCTTATGCAGGGCACCAGTCTTTAAAACATGTCAGTTTTTGATATTTTCCCCCAACCCCAACCCCACTCAGGATTCTGTACTGGCAGAGTACAGAAAACATTACCCATGTTCCTTATATATAACTTCTTTTGTCCAGTTGTCTTCATACAAACATAATGTTTATGGTAACTTCAGAAATTTTTACAAATTTGATACAATTTTAGAGAATATGCCATAGCCAAGATAATGTGTAGCACTCGGGACTAAATTGCCCATTACCATAATGAAGGTCTCGTAAACAATGCCCGAAGTGATCTAAGTAAGCATTTACTGCAACATAATTGCTAAGTCCAGTTTCATGTATTTATATCAGCTTTTCTACAACTAAAGTGCCCTGACATTGCAGTCATATTCATGCTGTTTACAATGAAAAAGTACCAGTAAGTATTTTACAACAAAACTGCCCCTTCTTGCTAGCCAATCATTATTCTTGCAGGAGTTACATAAAATTATACACATATTGACTTAATGATCTATAAATCATTCTTAAGGATCATTATCATAACAGATATCTTCATAATGAGCAACTAATGATGTATTTATATGCAAATCTGCCTAATCACTGATAGCTAACCAAATCTTGTCTAACAATCTATCAAGATACTTTATATATTGTAACAGAATGTGGCCAAGAAGTATAGAAATACTGTCTATATGTTTAATGTACAAAGGCTGTGGGGGCTTTTGTGTATATTTACCTTCATAAACAACATTTTAGCACAGGTTTGCTAAAATCTTTAGAAAAACCCCGATATAATCTTTTATTTATCCGATAACAATCAAACTATACATACCATCAAATTTATGCTGACAAAGCACGGTTATTAAAACTCTTTGTATTTTCTTACACCCTAGTGATACTTTATATTTGTATATATTTATAAGTAAAAAAAACTGCACAGTAGGCATTATTTTAGAGTATAATTTATATATATTTGAACCAAATATAAGAAGAATATAAAATTTGTAAATCATTTTTTTTTTTCACAGAGAATGGTTTGGGTGTTTTATTTCTTTAAACTCTGTATATAGCAAATAGATTTCATGCAATTTTATCCCCCATTACACTACTGGCACAGAAAAATCAAAAGCATACCACAGATTTTTTTTTCCTACATAATGCAAATTATTTACATGGTATACAAATAAAACAACTTTGTATTTTTCTTCAAAACGTTTGAAGTATCTTTGATTTTTTTAACAAATGATATTTTGGCCTGTATTTATATATTTTACCATTTTCCAAATATAAATGCAAGTGAGATCTTGTTGTGGAAGGGGGGGGGTACTTATGAATACAAATCAATGAATACAAATCAAAAGCCACAGAAGCATTTATTTTCCAAGTCTAAAAATAACATTCTATATGAGAACTTATGTGAGATCAAAGGTCATGGTTAAGAAACTCATTTACAGGGCTTGTTCCATTGACTTATGCTGGCAATTTCACAGAATTTTCATCCGCTATGCCGCAAAGTGGCTGTGACGTAAAACAAAATAGATTCTCCAGAGTTTCTGTGCTTACATAATAAACAGGAGCTTATGTTTTCCTGCCAAATTATAAACAAGAAAAAAACAACCCCAGCTTCATGGCACCCGTCCTTTTTTCTCTCCACTTAAGATATTATCTGTTAAAACTACACTGCAAACCTACCTGGTAGCAGCCAAACGTTTGAAGACAAAAATTTTGCAGAAAAAGAAATAACTTGCTGTAACTTGATTTTAAAGCAGTTGCAAATTTCCCACAACATTTGCCTCTTGGTTTTTTGATGCTGAATGAAATGTTATTTTGGGGGTGGCGTTTTTCTTGAAAACCATTAATCTATTTGTATTTTTAATATTAGATTTTATTCAGTAATATTGATATATTCTTTTAAGTTACAATTAATATACTTAATTCTAGAAACATGTTAAAAATAAGCAAGTATTGGTTCAATATTGCACGTCCAAAGTTTACCAGAGTTGACTTTTTTTGCAAGGAATGTTACCAGTGGAAAAAGGAAGTTTAACTCAGTTACTGGCATAATATTTTATCAACAGATGGGCTACAGGCACTAACTCAGTTACTGGCATAATATTTTATCAACAGATGGGCTACAGGCACTGACACATGTATATATATATATATATCCTACCAGATGTTAATAACCCTATAGGTATATATTAAGGTATTATTATCATACACTTTAAAATCTTTCCAGATGGGTTGATACACTTATAGTATTAAGATAACTATCAGATTATATATGCAAAAACTGTTATTTTTAAATAAAACAAGATCCTAAGGTACACAGATTTGCATTTATTTGCTTTTTTTGCTTAATAAGATACAAATAAACCACATGGAAATCTAAATGTGTGTTGAATAATATTATCTAGACTTACACTAGTGTTACATGACACTTATGAGACATGCATGTATAGCTGTTTTGTTTTTTTATAGGAAAGAACAACACTTTTATGTCAGATCTTATTCAATATTAATGGGGAAATCTTCAAAAGAAAAAGGAAAATAGGCACAGAGAGCAACGAACTACCCTATAAAATAGACAATAGTCCTAAGATCATCAACAAAACAAGGAAATTAATATCGGCTTTTTTTTTATCAATAAATTGATAAAATAATGTGCCAGTGTACAGCCCAGAAACAGAATTGGAACTAGCTATATTTATACCACAGCTGACAGCCTCCAATAGTCAGGCAAAATGCCAGTGAATCTCTCATACATAAATAGCTGATCTGAGCAGAAAAATATTCCATCAGTGCAGTGGTTGCTATTCTTACAATGTAAGCAAATACTAACTACAACTCATTTCAATCGGCCCTCGTTTGGAATAAAATGCTACATTCTACATTACTGGTTCATTTAGGTTAAATTTTGTACTATTTTATATATATATATGAAAGTTTAAAAACAGAATGAAAGTTGTGTTAAAAAAAATTCTCAAGAAATCACTTGTTGTTAACATAAACATTTTTTTCTTAAGTATTCCGTGAATCTCCAAGAAACTGAATCAATGTACCTCACATTGTCTTTAAATGCCACGTTTTTTTTAAAGAAACACTCCTTGCATTTCATAATTAAAAGATTTTTTTATGAGCTTGCACTAAATGAAAACAGTGTATTTTGTTTTGTTTTTTTTTCTCAGGCTTCTGAATATTTAACAAATTTGTTTTCATGACTTCATCCAATTATTCTAGCAGATTTCAGATCAGTTTTCAGTTGACAACGGTAAAATATGAACATTTTACAGTAATTTAATACATTTTTTTTCAGTAATCTATTTTTTTTTTGGTGTTACGATAAATAAATCAATCCTGGGAGCAATTTCCTAGGATTTCAGCGGACAAATATGTCACTGTCATGGAACCAATCAGCAATTTACTCTGATAATCACACGAAGCACAGGCTATTTCAATACATAATTATCTTTAGTGGCCATTACAGACTTAGCGCCTTGAATAGGAAACACTTCATTACATAGACCTAAGATGTCATAGATCCATCTTAAGCTTGCCAGTAAAAACAACACTCAACTGAATGAAGACTTACAAGATATAAAAGTAGACTTTGCCTTAAAAAAAGGAATTTTCTTGGCTTTACAAAACGTAAAGGAATTTGCTTGGCCTTAAAAAATATTTCTTCTGGCTGAGCCAATCTTCTAATTTCAAAAAGAACAAAAATTAGGAAGTTACATTTAATGTCATTTGCTAAAGTAAAGATAATGGCAAATTTCTAGTATAACAAATGATGGAAGGAAGTAGCGCCCTTGTATTTGGAAACATCATTCTTTAGAACTTAACTTTATCTGATTGTATTCAAATAACACTTTTACAGTCTCTTCATTTTTAAGCTGACTTACAAAAAGTAGGACTGTACCTGATGAATCCTGTTAATATTAATATTTAATCACATGCTATACTCTAACCATGTCTAAGAATGTGAGATTTTAATGGTAATAATCCTAGTAATTTGAGACTAAAAAGACACCAAGAGATGCAATTAGAAAAAAAAATTCAAACCAAAACCAACCTGAGATCAACATTATTTTCTTCATTATTTTCTTGCGTATTCAGCATTTTAGAAAAGTGCAAATAAAAATTTTAGAAACGAAAGTTTTGTTCAATCTGTAGAAAATACATGTAGTGCACAATTTGAGATTGTCAATTTAAATTAAAATGTCTTATACTTTTAAAATATGTTTGAATCTTACAAAAAAAGTTTTAACACTTGAAGGTTAGAAACAAATGAAGACCAACTGAGCACAAACCAGATCAGTTATCGCATTTTTTTTCAGCAAAATGATTTATCCATGGAGGAAAACATAATTTTTAAGATATAAAAATGATCGCAGAAAAGGACTTGAAACTTCTCTACAGTAGCAAATGAAATAATAGCTGGAATGATGACAGGTCAGCATGGGGCGGCCAGAATGGGGCCGGGAAAGAGGAGTTTGAATCTTACCAGTCTCTGAGTTGGAGGAGGTAGTTGAATTAGTTGATGTACTACATTCGCTAATACTTCTTTCTTGCCGCACCCTATATTGCCCATCCATAAGCTGGTCTAACCGCCTTTGCAAAAATCTCTGTTCCCTTCGAAGTTGTTCCCGTTGCGTCAATGTTTTTCTTTCTTTATCTTCTAAAGTCTATAAAATTAAGAAAAATTCTTGATTCACTGGCTTATAAAACACAATTATAAAAATTATTTTAAATACCAGAGTCATAACTAAGTATAAATTTTACTACATTTTTTTTTACGTTTATAAAAGATCGAGAAAACCAGATTTGAATTGTTACAATTTCAACTGATGGGCATGTTATAGTATGATAAAAGAATTACTTTTCTTCAACTTACAAATCTCAAATTGAATTTTAACAAAATCTTATGACCCTGGAGTCCATAGATCATACAGTATTTGCTTTAATGTTAGCTTAGTCAAGGATCTGACTAAACACCAACATTGATGTCTTTCTACATACAGTCACTTGCCACATCAATTGCATCTGACCACAACATCAAGTTTTTTGCACCAATATCAAGTTTTATACACTCATACATTCAAAGGCTTTTGGGGTCAGGGGGTGTCTCCAATAAAATTTAACCTTACTATTATTTTCAAGAACCAATTAATACTCGACACCGTCCTGTACATTGAATTTAAACTAAATAGCCAACAAGGTTTAATTTAAAGTTACAACAAAGAATATGACATTCGTGTTCATTACAAGTGAAATATGAAAATGTATACTCAGCAAGTATCATTTTATAAGTGGTTTCAGACAAAAATACTTAATTATAAATAATAATATTCACTTAAAACCCTTTGATGTCCATTAAGTGGTGTATCTTTCAACTTTTGATTGAAAATTGTAACACTACTATGTTTCAAGTTTAAGTTTGTCATTAATGTCCCTTTAGCAAAGCAAAGTCAGTAACAATTTACATAAGCTGACCATATACATGAGAGTAACAACTTATAGTGCATTTATTTCCTTCATTTGAAGCAAATACTGGATTTTTTTTATAATAAAATAGCTGATTGTTTTGGGGACAATTTATCTATTGTACATTATAATAGTAAATTAAATCACAGGACTTAGGACAATATGAATCTGTCAGCAATTTAGGCCGTCAGACATCCGGAATCTTACGGGCAGGTGGCATTATTTGTTGTGTACTAGACTGTATTCAATGTAAAAAATAACCTTACTTCATAACAGGAAACAGGTTTTTAACAACAAAAACTGATGGAAATTTTGATCGATAAAAAATTTGCGGTTAATGAACACAAATTTGACATTGGCAACAATAGGCCAGATAGCCCCTAACAGTCCCTTTCCCACCATTCCTCACTTTATTATTTCCCTTCTTGCTCTCAAACTGCTCTTCAACCCACAATTCAATAATATAAAATCATAAAAAATGAACTAAAAACCCCTAATCTCTTAGCTCTAAGCTTTCAAAAGTAATGACTGTTGACACAGGCAAAGTAATGATTAAAAAACCATGTCAGTGTATTGATTCCTTGCCTGACACAATAGGAAAATCAATGGCCATCTTCCTAACATTAATTAAATACTCCTGGCTAAATTACCAGGTTTTGATGTGGGGAAACAAAATCCATTCATAGTACTGACATGCAATAAAATTTTCCCTAGATATTTTTTTTTTTTGGTCTCTCTATAACTAGACTTGACAAATTTAGCAATATATCAAGTGACACCAGATGTGTGGAGAAATTATATACCTATGTGCCAATATCAATATGCTTGAAAATTTATGAGATCTAAAACAATATGGATATCATTATGGTAACATTATATGAGCAGCTTTAAACTCGTTAATTTTCCAAAGAATGGGAAACCATTTACATTGAAAAAAAACAACAATGAATCACAAATTATCTGCAAATGGTTATTCAACACCACCTATCATTTTCCTTTCAGTCATATTAAGTCTTTATGTAAAATAGCACCAATTTATAGCGTAATAATACCAATATAATCTGTCATACATGTATCAAAAGCCAGTAACCTAATGCTTATAAATGTTTCTATTACTTTTAAAGTAACCAGTTCTTACTTGCACTTTATCTGAATGAGTTAAAAATTATATTAAAAGAGAAATAGGTTCCCTTCCCCACCCAGTTGATTATGTAAAAAGCTTTTACTTGAGCCCCTCTCCCCCCCCCCCCCCCATATAAATTTGACAAAATCTTCCTCTCTCAATACAACAAGAGAATAAAGAAAATATGATTTTAGAAAGGTAACATTAAATGGCAGGCCTCAAATTTTCTGAAAATTAGGACTCTGAAAAGAGGTTCATGTGTAACAGCGGGCCTGCCCAGCATTTTACTGATTGCCCAGTCAGTCATCAATTAGTATCCTCATCATCAGAAATTCATGTACTCTTGAAAACAAGGAAGAAACATATATGAAATATCATCACGAATTAGAAATACGTGGCAAGGAAATGATTGAAGGATATGAATGAAATACAGATCATTCTATCTATAGTAGTAAAGTACCTTCCAATCATAACCCATGCAATGATTCATCATGTATTTCCTTATTCCATTCAACCAAATCTTTCAATACATGTATAACTAATTGATAATTTTAAACTTTTAAACCTTATTTAAGTCAAGACTCATCACCCTTCTTCGTCTCCTGTAGCTGAATATTGTGTGAAGTACATCATGTACATTAGTTTTCAGGGGCATAACAGCCAGACTGGGCATTAAAAACAACTCGACAGAGTCCCATTTACTGCAGCTCTACTCACCAAGTATCTACTGTGGCATAGATCTGGACTCAATCCAATAAACTAGGTTTAAAAAGGAAAACAAATATTTGCAAAAATTAAGTAGCAATAGCAGGGACTATGATTATACTTGTAAATTGTATGATTTATATAAGGAAACTTAAGGATATTAAGCTTACTTAGCATTGTTCATTTGAATAATGTATACTTAAAATCTTATTTCCCTGTTCAGTTTTCAGAAAATTTGAGGCAATGACAGTGAATCATAATCAACAGGATAAAGATAATAATTATTACGTTTTTTACAATAAAACTTTTACAAAGAATGTGTTGTTATCATCACAAGTGCACTTGGTATTGGTGTGTAGGTGCAAGTTTTGGAAAGGGGGTGGGACATAAAAGACAAAGAAATATAAATTTGGAAAGGGGGCGGGACATGAAAGACATAGAAATATGCAAAGGATTCATTGAAAGAATCAGACAAAAGGCTAGACGTTGAGTCTATTTTAATAATTTTGCCTTTCAAATCAGTTTAATTTTCATTACATTGTTCCAATTAATCAAAACCAATAACCAAGATCATGTCTGAATTATTAAAAGGCAGTTACTAGTAAAACTTTTAATGAATTACCATGTCATATTATCATTTGCATATTCTGGTGATAAAAATTCACATGGACCACCAAACCAGGAAAATGTGATGTGACTCCGTTAATTGGTAATCAATGTCTCGTTTTATTAGGCCGTCAATTAACTCATCAAAAGGCAAACCTTAGCTGTTGTGACAACAAAATACATTGCCTGTTGTGCAAGCCTGATCAATGAAAGTTACGAGGCTACTATTTATCAACCTTTACCCCTGCCTCCCTACCCCCATCCCACCCTCCTCTCTTTCTATTGCTAGCAAGTCACAGACTCCAAAGCATATTAATATCTAAATCAAATAATAAATGATAATCACACAAGAGCTGAGTAATAGAAAGAGAACCGAAACACGAGGTTATCTGATTTGTACGAGGGGGCGTAGCCCCCCAGTATTAATCAGATTACCGAGTGTTTTGGTGTTCTTTCTCTTTTGTATCATAGTCAAACATAAAATCACGTTCCCTGTTGTCATAATATGAAACCCTGACAAAAATGAACCAATGAATGAACATCTGAATATGATATTTCTGTAACTTTCCCTTTCTCTGCCGTCACAATATGTAAAACCCAGCAAAAATGAGCCAATCAATGGGCATGCTCTGAAGTGCGGGTAACTAATACCCGCACTCCAGTTAACACACGGTGCATGTATATGTATACGATTTAACCCTGACACATTTTCAACAGAAAGGTCTCCAAACTATGATACAAGTAGCCAGTTAACTCATAATTTCTTGGCACTGAGCCACATGAAAAGATTTTTTTTCTTCACTTTTCATGGATTTAAGACTGTCAACTTTTCATAAAACATTTTTTTTTATATTTTCAATCACGAGTATACCGGAAATGTATGATCATGCCCTTCAAGAGTATAATCCTGCATTGTCAACATTCTTTCAGACATGCATTCTTCTCTAAGCGTTGTGCAGATCAGCTGATAATAGAATGTGCATGTTTACAAAATAGAGTATTAACATTAAAGTGGTTTGTTGATTATTTTCAGACATGCAATTTACAACATCTAACATGGTTAAAATGACTATCATCAATAACCATCTCAGGGAAAATATTGATTAATGAATTATGAATAATAATATTTCATTTATAAATCAATATTCACCAAGGATTTTGCACAGAACTGCCATCAAGCGTTTCCAATAAAATCATTTTAATAATGGAATTTTGAAATTACCGGATTCCTTAGGATCAACAAGTGTGAAGCAATTGGTTACGATTGCAATACCGGCACGTATTTGTGACATGGTCAGAAGTGCCATCTGTGGTAAGTTACTAAATGCAACACAAACCCACACTACCAAAGATTGACTTAAAGATTATTGACTTAAAGTCACAGAAACTGTTAAAGAATAAATTACCTACAGAAAGACCTTACCGTGAACATACAATGATACAACATGTAATATGGCATCCAGTAGGCCAACATATATGCAAGTTAACCTTGAAAAACACTCAAAAACAATCATTTGTATTGCCATTTTGTTTCACATGATTGTTAGGTAACTAGACATGCAATTATATATATATACATGTTACGTTCACATAAAAGGTATGTTTTGTTCAATAAAATACCAATAACTAATCATCGAGATCACTTGAGGCATATTCACTGCTTGAAAAATAAAAAAAAAAACATCCCGGATGATGATGTGAATCTATTTGTCTGTAAAACTACTTAACAAAACTAATTAAATTAAAAAAGGCTTTAATTAATACATATAATTTCCTAACTCACTGATCCGCCAGCATTCTTGGGTGATTTTATTTTTCCTGCACAAAATCTGACTCAGTATTCTAATTTCTCAAATGGGTGTAGCAAAACATGTTCCTACAATTTATAACTGTGGGTTTATTTAAAAGTTTCATAAACATTTAGAAACTTTTGCCTGGTTATTTAATAGTGAATGACATTAATGACATCTTAAAACTAAAGCTTTGGGTTTCATATTGTATTTAAATGTCATGTTGTTCAAAATAAATATTTCATTATAAGCTTTCCATACTTAACAAATCATGGTTCAACATAATAATCTAAAGGTCATGTATAACTGAACTTCTACCTCTGACAAACATGTACATTAAAACTTTTACTATGGTTAATCATGTATAAACTAAAACTAATACTAAAACTAAATGCTGAGTCATCAGAAAAACTTCACGTCATGAGACTACCGTGTAAGATACCTTGATATGGGTGTCATATCGGTAAATCACCTGCAAGATTAGCTGATACTTAAAACAATAGCATGTAATATACCCATGACAGATAAAAGTGAAAACTATGCAATGTGAACACATTGACTATAAAAGGTCTTTTGACTCTTGGCCAACCAATCAGTGGCTTACATGTCATATCTTTCAACTAACAATAGGTAAATAACTCTACATACATGACTTTTCATGCATGATTAATTTTCCTTCTATTATTGTCCAAAAATCGGCAATTTAAACACAGTTACAATGGGGCGGTAATTGGACAATACTTTTAAGTGACGGTGAAGTTACTCAGCAGGAACAAAAATCAAAAGAAACTGAAAATTTCCTTTTCAGTCATGTCACAGGGGCATAGCTAATTTATGTCATTTCACACCAGGGCAATTGTTGACAAAGTTCTGTTCAATGCCCTTTCTCTCTGCACGATTGATGGTAACTACGCACGTAAATGAGCCCTTTACTTACGATATATACTTATTGAAACTCACGATACAATCTAGTTTTCAATAATTTCAGTACAAATGAACAAGTTGAAACTTCATAATAAGTAGCAAAAAGCAATTTTCTCACGCTAACTTATAATTTAGAGAGACTGACATTGAATACAGTTCTAGGTCAGTCAACATCATTAAAAACATGATTTTTTTTTTTGCAACCCTTAAAAACCAAGTCTTCTAAATGTTTTCAATTTGAGCTAAATTGCTCTTATCTTTCATTTACAAATATGTGATAAAAACTATAAACTAGCAAATAGAGCTGTGATATTTCATTAAAATTCATGCCCATTCTGAAAGAATCTTAGCCATAAAACGTGAACATGTTAATTATTCTCCTAGGCTTTAAAAGAATTAAAGCGAAAGAAACATATCATGTGAAAAAAAAGCATGTTAATTTAATGACCGTAACATGTTTTACTATAAATATAAAGGATTAACATTTAAAAATGAACAATTTTAAAACTGGTCAACTGGCAGTTGTCCAAATGACTCTTAATGTCAAGACCTCAGGTCCTCATAAAGTTAAATGGGGTTAAGGACTGGTAGGCAGGTGATTGGTTAAATCTAGGTAAAGGAAAGCCCTGTGCATATCATTTCCTTTGTCACAATGTTTTTTATAAAGACTGATGTGCATAATTTCAGGTACCTAGAGACAAAGGTTACAAATCTATCGACCATTTCATATGCTACCTAGCTAAGATTTTTTTAAAAATTTATACACAATTTCGATCATAACCCATCAAGATAGAGAGACCTTAAACCAAACTACAGTCTAAGCCATGGAGAGACAATGCCCCTTTTTCTGCAGTCTGCAGAGAGCACAATAAATAAATCTGTTGTGCATCAAGATAAGACCAGCACTTACACTACAGCAAACTTTACATGTGTTATTATAACAGTTATTGATAGATTTTCAGATTTTTACAAAATCCAAGCAAACACTCGAAAGCTCAGTATGTTCTCATGATTAGGAAAAGCCTTATCAACTTCACAATCCTCTCCTCTAGTCCAAAATAAATCCAGGTTTTCATGTGGTTTCTGCAGAAACCTTTCAATATTCTAGAGCATTTTGATAAGGAAAGAGATAGTGTGTTTAACTGGGATTCCATTTTATTTATTCTTTGCTTTAACACAAGTTTCAGAGTCATGTAACTGATAACCAGCTCAAGTTGCAAAGATTTTTATGTTTGATTTATGTAGTGTTCGATTCAGTTTTTCTCCTCTTGTAATATATATAAAGTACACTTTTGTTTTAAATTATGCAAATATCAAGTACCTGTTGGCAAAGTAAACTCAATTATAAAGACTCATAACATATGTGTTATTATCTTCATTTTATAAATATTAATTTATTTATGAAAAACCTTAAATATGTCTTTTTGAATGTATCACATTCACTCCTTTAAAAATTCTAACAGTTAAGAACTATTTATTATATGTTCTATTAACTTGGTCCTTTTGTGTCAATCTTGAACTTTAAAGTAATACAAAGTAAAAATTACAACATCTTCCTGTGTTTTTCTTTTTTCCCTTTTTTTCTCATTTTTTCTTTCGAATTAAACAATTTTGATTAAATTCTACAAATCATTGAATAAAACACCTTAGAAAATGCTATTAGACAAATTTTAGAAGTGGCTGCCTTTAGAACTACATTATACATTTTCATCAACCCCTACCCAAAAACATCAATTATCATGAAAAGCTTTCCGAGATATTTTATATTAGTTAAATGACTAACAATTTTCATCAAGTGGTCAATTGTGTTGCATATTCCCTGAGAATCCAATAAATTCCTATCTGGACTAGCCCCTATTTTTACTTTAATAACTTAAAAGTACAGTGTATATATATAAATGCAATATTCTTAATATCTTAGTCAATCACTACTTAAAATAACAGGAACAGAAGCTGATATCATTTCAAAGCATTGGTGCAGTTTTAAGTACTATATAAGTACTAACCTCAAGTATTTGTACATTTATTTGTAGAAACTTTAAACACACTGCTCTAACCACAAAATGTATGATGAAATAGTAACTAGAATTGGAAATCGTTCGATTAAAATACTGACGTGTTGTCAGTCCACCTACTGTTAAACACCAAGCACTCCTGAGAAGAATTAGCTAAGTTTCTAAAATAAATTAAAAATGGAAACCCAAGCAGAATACATGTATATTTCACAAAATGTGACAATCACCTTTAAGTAGTACTGCATAGAATTAAACAATACTGAACTCGCATCAAATTACTTTTTTTTTTCATACTACTTATCAACACTGTGGTATGCACTTAACAAAAAATCAATTGCTTTCAAATTTAATTATCTAAAAAAAAATTGGATTGAGTAAGTAATTTCCAAATTTAAGACATCATACACTTAATATACAATACCATAAATCATAATCATTAAAAATTAAAATGTGGCAATCAAGTTATTTTAAATTTCCTGAATTAACTTGGTTTTATGGGCACAACAAATGTCAAACCTGATATAGTAAAATCTTGCCAAGTGTGTTCTATAATTAGACTTTATATTATTAAACATTATCATTAGAGCATAATGCCCAACATGTGACTTGACAATGACAGTTAGAAAATATGCACTGGATTCCTGTAGTGGTAAAATCTCTTCAATTGATGAATATTTATAACTGGATAAACCACAGGTAGTAATGAGAACTCAACAGTTCCAAGTCAACTTATCCATGGTTTAACACTCCTTAATAATAATATTTCTCAGAAGAACTCAAATTCAGCAGCCACACAATAATGATATTTGGAAATAGTCACGATAGTCTTGAAAAAAGTTATACATAAATTATGTTTCTCCAAGACTTTGAGATGATTTACATGGGAAAGTTTATTTTATTCTCTTTTATATATTACGCCAATTCAACTTTTATGGTTAGAACTGCCATGAATTTACCATACCATACTCAGTGTTCTTTTTTGGCATGTTGTTACCGTATAAAACATAGTATTGTATACATGTATATCGAGGGTTGGCCACAAAACTGTTATAAGTCCCTCTTTATTTCATATATAAGTTACTGCAGTTTTGTGGCCAACCCTTGACATTTACTCATAATCAGTATAAAAAAACAGGGAACAGATGCGACTGATTTCTTGGTCACAATATATTTCTTTTTTTATTTCCAAAACAAAAAAAGGCTTACAGTGTTCACAACTCACCTTTATAAAACTTTTAGCTTTCATAAGAAGACCTAAAGTTGTATGTCTAGATGAGTCTGGTCCCAATGGCACTATGTCTTTTAATTTTTCTAAGCAGTATCTTAAATTTGCTCGTCTGAAAGTATATTGAAGACTCAGTTTGTTTAATTTTTTTTCATTTTTTTTTTGTTAAAATTAAAATTTAAACAGAAGGAAAAGGCAATAAACATTGAATAAATTAGCTGGCAAATAAATTAAATCTTTTAAAATTTACCAAGATTCTAAATTTAACATCATGACACAACCGAAACCTAGGTTTGTAAAGATAAATTACTTGTCCTACATGACGAATACACAAATCACGCCCACCTGTCAAATCCGCATGGAGGCCAAGGTTACTACACATAAGTGAAGTTTAAAAACTTTATGAAAATCTCGACCAATTTATAACAAAATACAAAAATGTACAAACCTATTTTTTTCTAATTCGTTGTGTGTTGACCTGAAATTTTAAACAAATTGTTGTTCATCATCATAAATTAAACGTAATCTAAACGCAGATGTGCTACACTGAATCTAATGTACTGTCATAATATACATGTACATTCAATTAAAACTGGAATTTTTGTTCCATTATTCAATAAATTATGACCTTAAAAATATTTAAATTCAAGAAAAACATCTTAACATTGAACAATTTTCACACAAATACAAAATAAATCTAATGAGGTCAACTTAGCAAATTGTAAACAAGAATCGATTGGCCGCCATTTGCAATCCGCCATTTTCTACGGCATGAAAGTCATGCCGTTTAACGCGTGCAAAATTGCACATACTACATTGTTGCAATTTCAAGCGTTAATCGCATCATCCTTTTGATTGTTTGGTGGCTATTCTTTAATAGGCCGGCAGCATGCAATGTCCCCAAAAAGGGACCATCTGCCAGTTGATTGCCCGCCCGCGCGAAAATATTAAACAATGAAATTCGGGTGCTTGACAACGGGCCGATTTTTTTCTGTAACTGCATGACTTTAATAAATGGGAACGATATAATCCAAAAAACTTCTTGAAAATTAATTGAATTGATAAAAATATTAATAAATAAGTTTATAGGTCGTATTATTCAGCTAAATTTTCATGTTGTCTAAACTTGAAAAGTTCGTCTGCTTACAGCATAAACGAAGGCCTCAGATACAGACATTGTCAAAATAAAAAAGTAACACAAATGAAATCAATGCATTCAATGTTTCAATTATATTTTAAAATGAAAATATAAATATGAAAACGTTTATATCACCAAATCGCTGAATTTGCATTATTTTGACAATGTACACTAGCCAGCCAATATGGCCGCCGTGCACAAAGAGATATCCAGATTTATTTTTTGGATCACTTAAATCCAACAATTTCCACATAAAATCCAGTAATTTTTTCGATCCCTTAGAACATAAATTATTCAAAAACTTCAGATGTTTGCGTATTTAACAAAGCTTCATGTAATAAAATGTATCCACAAAATGAACAACCGTGACTTCCTTTATACCTATTTCCCTGAGATTTCTTAGATTTTGACCTCTTCTTTGCACTATAATCGTCTGGCATAGGTAGTGTGGAAGCATATCCATGTTCAGCTTCTGAAATTTTAAAAGAAATTCACATATAATCCAAAAATCAGCAAGAATATCCCTAAGCCACGTAGGCAAATAATTTCCAAAATTTAGCCTTAGGAACGCTCACATTAATTCCTCAAAATAATCCATTTCTCACCTCTTTCTCTTCTATCCAAGTACTCAGCTGCTTGTATGAGTTGTTGGATACTAAACATGATTAAAAATAAATGAGATCGCGCAGACAAATAATATTTTAAAGAAATTCAAAGCAACTGTTACATTCGAGTGTCGATTTTGTTTTGACAGAAGATTTGTTTCGCATAGGAAGTCCGTTTGTTTACCTTGATAGAAGCGACCTTGTGATATTACGATGAATTTCATTGGCCGCCCGCCTGAAAGGCTTTCACGCCATTGGTCGATTGGATAAACTTGAAGTATTTTATGCATCTGACACAAAATTACATTCGGAATCTAACAAATGTCACATGAGTCTTAAGACTCCGCCCTTTTCTGCAATTTGTAAACAAAGATCAGCTGTGTTCCTGTAAGGTCAAATTTTCCGTCGTCTTTGTTTTAATAAATTACCGCTAATTTATTGTTCAGTCTTGTTTTAAACATTGTTAATAGTTTTAATTATAAAATACACACTTGCAAACGGGAAATAATTTTAAACTGAAAGTAGGTCGTGTTAACCGAGTTTTTTGACAGCTAGTGCTCAGTAGTCAGAGCCGTTCAATTATCTGATTATAAATTCAGGTTCGCAGGAATACTTAAGCAGAATATTCCTTGTAATGTTTTATTTTCATGGAATGGACAACATATTTGAATGTAAAAACGTTGAGGTTTGGGGTAACGAAATTATTTGTACCCACAAACATTTCATTTTTAAATCAATCTGTCTTTTTTTTGAAAATCTTACGTATTGGTGTATATTTAACCACGCATTAAGAACATTGATTGTTTCTATTTATAAGTTTCAAGTAGGTGTATTATATAGAAACTTACGCAATAATACACAAAACGTAGTACTAAAACACTGGACCAGGGTTTCCTTCTTTTTTCACCTATTAGTAAAATTAGCTTCATTTGCAACACATTGACCAAAGTTTTGGTCCGATTATTTTTAAGCGGTAAAACTCGGTAAGGGTCATTTCCCCAAAAAGTCGGATAAGATGAAAATTATCAATTTTAAACAGAATGGGGGTGCAAATGTTACCCCTTTGAACACCCCTTTAACTTCCCTCTATCGTTTTTTTTGGTTAAAATAGACATATACTCGTATGTATGTTATTAATTATGTTAATAATATTTTACATGTTTTGAGCCGCTAACGACAAAACCCAACAAAATGGTTTGCGACCACATAACCCAGAAAACTTGCGCACCCGCGCACTGTCAGGATCCTGCGTTTTTTTAAAAACCCAAATAACAAGTAGAGAAACTGACAGCGAACATCATGGATCCTGATCAGACTGCGCGGAAGCGCAGGCTGGCCTGGATCCATACTGGTCGCAAACGCACTAAGTTGGTTTTGTCGTGACGCGCCTCATATGTGGATTAAATACCATCAGATAAGAAGAAATGGTGCAAAATGCCAAGTACGCCAGTACGTAGTTATGATTAAATCACGGATCGTGACACAACTCTGATTAGATATATTCAGCCTATAATAGATAAACATAATTTGATATGATCTGCTACAAATCCTCCATGTACTGTATAAATGACTATCTTTATAATCGTTTCCCATTGTCGATCTAAAGTTTTTGTCAACCTCAGCATTATTGAAAAGATGAGGTTTATGATTGGGGCAAATTGTAAATGATGATACTTACACTAGAATGCAATACACGTCTTGAAATTTTTAGATATATATCAGTCAGTGTAATTCGTCATTACTATGGGTATCCGGAAATGGAAATTTCACTCTCAGAAATTTTACTGTTGGATACAAATATTTGTCATTTCAGTTTAGTTTATAAAAAAGATCTTTGTTGACTTTTAAGTATCGTTTTGAAAGTATACGATACTTATTAAGAGAACGTATTTAAGTTCACATTAAATGTCCTATAAATATATTTTAAGTTTATGTGTACTATATTACGGCTTTAATTCAATTATATTAAACAGTTTTTTTTTAAAGACAAGTGTAAGATAACTGTACAATCAATGGTGAATTTCTTCAGCGATGTGACTAGCAATGAAAACAAAGAAATATCTGTTATAATATGTTTAATTCAAACACGTAATTTGAGACCGGAAACAGCGTTTAATTGATGAATTTTGCAGTGTACAAATCCGCTGGCTGTTCGGCAACAAGACATACAATAGGTGGATAAATAAGGAGCTATGACGTTGGTTTACAATAGGGTCTTTAGAGAATTTCAAATTTCGAAAGGCCCTGTTTTGATTGACAACGTTTATTCATGTATTGATTTGCCTTAAATGGAAGCGTCAACAGTAACCATACAAATGGTAGTTACTTGGAGGGTTTTGAACATTTTTTTTCGTCGGGAACTGCATTTAACGGCGCCTGATCTTGTAACAGCACGTTTATTTTGAGTATTTAGCAGTTTTATGGCCACAATACCGTCGGTCTTATCTATACATTACCCCCATTCTTTTTTTAAAGGCTTAGATCTACACGATCGATGTAATGCTTGTTTAGGTCTATTATAGCGGTGCCTTGTTCGGTGAAGTGATGCGCGCGATAAAAACACGTATCGTATACGGAATACTGGGCATTTCGATCATTTTCCGACGATAACAACCTCTGCCTTTATCGGCCCTATCTTTGTTCAATATACATATTTTGACTGGATGACCTCAAAGGGACAATAAATTATTCCGTTATCTGACCGTATCTATCGGCTGTCAACACTTCAAGGGCAAAGTAAAACAGAGGTTTATTTTCTAGTGTGCAATTTTAGACCCTTACATACATTCAATCTTTGTTTTATGCATGATTATGCAGTCATGGAATGTTGACGTTTTGAAATTTGAATTATTTATTATTTTAGTAATATACATGTATGTTAGGGGCTGTATGTGAGCGTGGCCTTATCAGTAAGATCTAACTAACATTTGCTGGGTAATGCACGTGACGCACGTGCTCTTTGTGTATCAAACTCCCTCCCAATCATTAAAGGGATTATGCGAAGTTTTTTGACATGATGGGGCTGGGAATATTTTATATTATAAATGTTCCACTTGATGTACGTCTAGACTAATAACTTGTTTGTAAAATTTCAGATTATTGCTCATTCCGTTTTCTTTTCTTTTTTTGGGGGGGGGGGGATGGGGGGGTTCAGAGAAAATATTGAATTCGTGAAAAAACAAGGAAAATTGAAAAGCGTTTTTCACCCCAATCGGACATGGGATAACACAAAAAATACTATTTTCAATTTATTTCTTTGTTTATTTCTTGATTTTTGGCATATATCTCTGTTTTAAGTGCCCCATTTATTTGATCTATATGAGCAATACATTTTTTTGGAGTTTTGGATCGCAGTGGAGTTTCTGTAATGAATATGTTTTTTTTTAATCAAATGCATTTATACATGTTTCTAACATATTGACAAGAAAGTTACAGTAGAAAAGTTCATCCCAAAAAGATACATACATATGTATCTGAACGAATAGCTCTGATAAAAGGACTGACTATCCGTTAGTCAAAGTACAAAAACAAAATGTACCACTTTTACACCCATTAATGTCGCTGCGAACGTGGTTATAAGTTTACGTCCGCGCAATATAAAACACACTGAATAACTTTTGTCCTAATTTCATCTAGTGTCAGGGATGATTGCTTTGTATTATGTTTTTTTTTGTATATTCATTTAATATACAATGTACAACAAAGTTGTCGTTTATGCCATATTTTTATAATGGTTAATGTTATCATCGCTATAGTTATTTTAAAGAAACGAATCTTTATTTTCTTCTTCGGAAGGGGCCAACATGACATTAAACTCAGAAACGATTTTTTTACTTTTTTAGTAAGAGCAAATATGAGTTTTGCAACATTTAAATAATGGTTTTAGAGTATGTTAGATGCTTGTTACATGAAAAAAGTAGCAGTAAATGTGAAATAATACTTAACCACTGTACTTATTACCAAAGAACAGAAAAAGCAAAAGAACTGACTCAGCTTTATCATCTACGACTTCTTTTAAGAAAACCGTTACAGCAAAACACATTATATAAGCTTTTGAAAAATAAAGATAAAAGCACCCGACCCCTAATGAGCCTTTAATGAAATTCATTCGTTTATTTTGGACAAACTTAGACTTTTTTTCCTTATAACTATAAACCTGACATTCATTTTAAATGGGGTGAATTGACATGATTGTTTTATTGCAAAATTTTAAGAATCGGAAAATCGACAAATTTTCTCAATGTTGTCAAGAATATAAAGACTGAAATTGACAAAAGTTATTAACCTAATGAAACGGAAATTGACGGAATTTCTCGAATATTCACAACTTTAGAAACAGAAAAATTACGACAGTTCACGAATGACACGAAAATTGACGAAAATTCGCGAATGTTCATAAGCGTTTGATAAATCTTTTACTTGAACATAATTTTGCAATTTACCACAAAAATTTGTCAAATAATAGCCATAACTGCTTTAATCCTTAAAAAATAATAAACGGTTTCGTTTCACTGCTTGCCAATTTAGAAGTTCGATTTTGCTGTTTGTGAAATATCTTCTTTTTTTTCAAAGGTGAGCAAAGTAAATCCATAACACCTCTTGAAAAATTCAATTTAGTAATTGTTTTTAAACGTTTAATTATTAATGAACTGTTTTAGAATGGGCTATATTTCCCCGCTTGATTTGAAATGAATCAATAATAATTCTTTTTTTGAAAATGAAATCGAATGTGCAGTCAATTTTATAACGACCTCTTGTGACATGTTTAGTTTAATAACCGACACATTTCTTGCATAACTGAAATTTAGAATAGCAAATGCATGGTACGGAACATTTGATACTCAATATCCTATAACCCGTTGTCAGTTTTAATTTGTGTCCCTCTCTTTGTCATAAAATTGCATAAAAAATTCATAAACAATGAAAGCCAAACATACTTTATTATTAATTTAAGAACTATTTCAATGTGAGATTTGTTGATTAGTTGGGTATATTAACCTTTAACCTACGCACTTGCTCAGATTTCATTTTTTGGAAGTAAATATTTTTAGTTTAAAGCTGCACGCCTCCAGATGAGCCAAAATATTTCAAGAAAATCAATATACAGAAAAATGTACTAAAATTTAAAGAAAGGTAAAATATTCAAGATCCAAGTTATATT